AAAAATTTTATACAAATGTATAAGATATAAATCACACTTTATATACTATGAGTGATAAAACAACTCGTAGCAAAATAAATGATAATTACGTAAATTTTTTAAATAAGACGAATGGTCAAACATGTGAGAAAAAAAATTAACGGTGTCATCTATTAAAAAAACGGAGTTAGTACTGTATACTCCACTATGGTGTACTAGGAGTACAATAGTACTTCGACTCGTGCATTGCAGCAGCCAAATGGTGTGTAGTTCTAGTACTATTGTTCTGGGAAACTGATTTCATCCATGGGGGATATATTACTACTCCTACTACAGTTTATTCACACGCGCATATTCAGCCAGACAGCCTCTGATTTTGGGCATTCCGTCACCACACTACCAGTTTTCAGACAACAAATAGTTGACGCTGCGACCAAGTATTAATACCATGCAGTTAGTCAGTGACACTACCTAGTTTCTAGAAACCGACAATTTTGTTTATACCATATCTTCTTTTGGTCAACTCGTTGGTTTATACCATCAACTTACAGATCATGGACGATTCAAGCTAGCCATTCTGAATCCTGAACAAGGAAGCACGGTTGCTGTACAGATCATGGACGATTCAAGCTAGCCATCCTGACCCTGAACAATTCTGGCAGGCTCGCGGCGCATGCCGACTATTGTGATCTCATCTGCCACTCCCCCTCCTCTCAGCTGCACGAGTTTGGCGATGAAATCTCCGCTCATCATGACACACGACATGGAGAGGAGATTGTTTCACAAGGCAGCTACTTCTTCAGTTCTTCCGCTAGCTGTTGCTTGCCCGATGGGTTCAGAATTTCAGATTGATAGATATGTAATCCATTTATCAAGGTGCACGCCGCACGCGCATGCAAGTGATCCGGTTTATACAGTATATATAGGTCAATGTAAGCTCACCTAACTTGATCGATAGCGATTGTGTCATTTGTGGAAGAGAGTTTTTTATTTCTTTTATCTTCTTTTCCGAGAGGGAAAGAAGAGAATGAATTCAACCCTCAACTAGTCGTCTAAAAACTGTGCTGAAGAAGATTTCCTAGGGCGTGTGTCATCAGATCAATGATTGCGTCATGTAGGATGGGTTTTGATTACTTCGATTCTTTTTTTGTTTCTTGTTGAGATTGTTAATTTCCGATACTTTAATTCAACGTTTAGCTCAGCTCGCCTGTCTGCCCAGCAGTAATCAGTCATGCACTGCTGCACGTCATTCGTTTGAGACCTTGTGGGTCACCTAACTATTGACCCCGGCCCGATCGATCGAAGAATATAGAAATCAGTCCTGCACTCTGCACAAGTCGTGTTGTAAACGAAAAGAGTAGACAAATGTAGTTCGTCATCAAGGCACGCCCGGGTTTGACGAGCACAAGGCATTTTTTGTTAATTAATTTGTCTTGTGTTTCTCCAGGTTTTGTTAACCCAAGTAGCTAAGCAGTGTTAGGGACTGTTTAGCTGTTCACTAACTCACATGTTCACAGCCAACTTTTGGGAAGACACGGCATAGGGTACGTTGGCTAGGAACCGAGTGCATTCTACACGTACCACTGTACCAGAGAACAGCTATGAAGTTTAGTATGTCACTCCCGGTGGGATGTGGTGGTGGTGTTTAGTTGATGGTATGCTCATGGATGTGGTTTCTCAGCTAGCTGAGTTGTTTTAGAGTATTTTGGGCCGGTTTGAATTGCTACCCTACCAAAATTTTGATAGGTAGCAAACTAAACACCTCTATTAAAACAATACCTACGTCATAAATTTGACTTTGCCAATTAACTTATCTCTGATTAGTATATTTTGGCTTCAGTCCAAATGAACATTTTTAACTGCCTAATGTTTGGTGCCGTTCGTTCGCAGAAAAAAAAAAGCATGCCACGTCTATAACTTGGAGTAATAACAAGCTGTGGCCCACGAAACTGTCTGATCCAAAAACACTTCGGCAACTCAGCCAAAAGGCCCAGACATACTAGGGCGTTTTCTGAATAAGAGAAGAAAACTAAAAATCCACCTTGCGTCTCTCAGGTATGGGTTGAGTTTCATTCATGTCCATCAATGATAAAAATCAGATATGTAGCGTCATGGCTTACCTCAACAATATTCGCCAAAGTTTGTTGCTCTTTGTTCCCAACCTGCTAAATGGTGTGTTTTTTTAAAAAGTTTCTATACGAAAGTTGCTTAAAAAATCATATTATCTATTTTTTAAAAAATAGCTAAAACTTAATTAATCACGTGTTAATGAACCGCTCTGTTTTCCATGTGAGAAAATGAGTTACCAAGCAACAGAAACGAACGCAGCATGGGTGGTTTTTAACTGATGTGCGACATACCAGATTTTAAAAGTTAACATTGTGTTTAGATCCCAAAAATTTTTGGCAAAAAATGTTACATCAAATGTTTGGATACATGCATGGAGCATTAAATGTGGACGAAAAAAAGAACCAATTGCACAATTTGCATGTAAATTGCGAGATGAATCTTTTGAGCCTAATTGCGTTATGATTTGACAATATGATGCTACAATAAACATTGGCTAATGACGGATTAATTAGGCTTGATAAATTCATCTCGCAGTTTATAGGCGGAATCTGTAATATGTTTTGTTATTAGTCTACGTTTAATACTTCAAATGTGCCTGCGTATACTTAAAAAAAATTTTGGCCAAAGAACTAAACACGGCCTAGGAGACACTTCACATCCGATTTTAAGATTGGAGGATTTTTACAATTCTTGAAGAGGTATTAGGAGGTACCAGACACTGGGAGGTGCCACTTACAGGAGCAGAGACGATTCATTTGAGATGGAAGTGGAGGGGAAAGGGAAGGGGAAAAGCAGAGACGAAAGGCGGGCATGGCAGAGTCGATGATTGGGAGTAGAAATGGCAATTTGACCTATTTGCCCGTTCACCCGTGGGTAAAATCCTAATAGAGTTGGATTTGTTCCCCATTTAATACCCCATGGGTTTCTTATTAGGTCAAAACCTGTACCCAACGAGCAAACGAGCATGGGCATGGTAGTGACTACCAATGCTCGCTTCGCCTGTTTACCTGCAAAAACCAACTGACATGTGGGCCCTCAGTCAACTTAGTATAAAAATCACCATCTAGAATTCTAGGGTTTTCTTCCTTCCCTCCCACCCACCATCTAGAATTTTATTGAATCGCCACCACCCTCCCACCCACCAGTTGTCACCGGTGGCCCCACCCTCTAGCCGGCGACTTTCACAGACGCCACGGGAGGAGCAACCGAGGAAGCTGCGAACGCCGCCGCCTCCTACCCCTTCTGCGCCGAGCTCCCACCTCCGGTCGTCGAAGTCCTCCAACCGTCAACCGCCAGCCTGCCACACCTTCCTCCAGCCGCGCCTCCACCATCCGCTTGCTTGGCTGCCTCCCACCTCTGGTCGTCGCCGCCTCCTACCTCCACTGCGCCGAGCTCCCCTCCGGCCGAGAATTTTATTGAACTATAACAGGTAAACAGGCATGCCCGCGGGCACATAACACCCACCGGCGACAAGTATAGACAATGTTCCTTACCCATCATGTAGTAGCGGGTATGTCCGCGGACATGAATTACCTCACGGACATGGGCACCCTTGGTGCCCGACTGCAATCCCTAATTGGGAGGTCTTGAGTTGAGAAACGACGGCACGATGCACGAGAAAGACAACGGCAATTACCGGCTTACCCTTGAGAATCGGTACCTCCTCATTCCCACCTTGCGCTACCACCATGTAACCAAACTCTGTTAGCCCTCTGATTTGATTGGATGGACAGCTCAAATTACTTTATTCTCTCTCCTCAAGGATGGTAAATCAGCTCTTAAGATTGAGGCATAAATTATCCAAAAAGAAAAAATAGATTGACGCATACGACAGAAACTATACTCATAGTTGAGGGATGTAAAGTGCACTTTTTCACAAAAGAACACACCTACCTCACCGGCCCAACTATAATAAGTCACCGGTCTTTCTATAGCCCAATCTGTACTGGCAGGCTTGTACGAGGTTCTCTGTAAGGAATAAGTTCTCTTGAAGTCCCTCATGTGCCTAGTCTAACTTTCGTCCTTACAAAACCAATGCCCTTGGCAGTATTCATCTAAGTTTTGGTAGCGGGACGCCTACGTGCGTACTTTAAATAGGTCTTCGTCCCACGTAGCATTGACTTGGCGCTTACATGATAGTTTGTTCCGGAAAAAAATATAAAATGTGCAAAATTGAGGATGCCCCGTTCAAACTCCAAATCCTGTTCACCGGTGGATCGAGGAGATAGAGGTAGAAAGGGTGAGGTGGAGGAAGTGGGACCGACTGACATGTGAGTCCAATTATTTTGTATCATCTTGTTTCACTGATATATGGGCCCCACATATTTTGTTTTCTTTTTTTAGTTTTCAATTTTGCTATTTTAATCAAACTGTCACGTAAGCGCCACGTTATTACCACATGAGATGAACATCTAAACAAAGAAGTCATGTATGCGCCATGTCAGTCAAAATCGGGGAAAATACTTGTTGTGTTTGGCTGCACTAGCTGCCGCAACGGGCAATGACTGGTCAGCTGCGGCTGCAGCAGTTGTGAATGGCTGCAGCTGGCAGCCGGTTTGAATTGCCGCAGCCACAGCGGCTGCAGCAGCAAGTCCCTCCGAACAGAGCCACTATTGAGGAATCTCGTTTCAACTGGTTTTATAAATTGGGGGATGGGCTGTTTTGAATTTTCGGTTTGAGGGACCAAAAGTAAACTTATTCCTCTCTGTAAACATGGCACCAACATCCGAACCAATCGATACTCACAGTCCGCACGGCCCACCAGGCCCAGACACCTCGGACTCTCAAAGCGGACGGGAATGTTCAGGAAAACGCGACAAGAGCGGAGAACCCCGCGGCGTCGTCGCGAAGCTCGAACAAACCAACGGCGGCGCACGCTGTCCCGAAGCTTCGCCACCTTTCCCCACCCTTCCACACCGCCCGTGGCGTGAGCTATAAAATGGCGCCGCGCACTCGCCTGTTCCCCGCAATTGAAGCAAGCAATCAAGCGACGATAATTAGAGCACTCGCGACCTCTCCGACGATCTCCAGCTCACTGCTTTTAGGTTCTCAAACTCTGATTTCCTCTCTACTCTGTAGTGCAATGGCTGCTCCATTCGCTCTCGTCAGCCGTGTCTCGCCAGCGGCGCGCCTCCCCATCCGCGCCGCCTGGAGGAGGGCGAGGCCGACGGTCGGGCTCCCGTCCTCGGGGAGGGCCCGCCAGCTCGCCGTGGCCTCCGCGGCGCAGGAGAACAGGGACAACACCGCCGTCGATGTCCACGTCAACCAGGACGGCGGGAACCAGCAGGGGAACGCCGTGCAGCGCCGCCCGCGCCGCTCGTCGGCGTTGGACGGCATCTCCCCGTTCGGCCTCGTGGACCCGATGTCGCCGATGCGGACGATGCGGCAGATGCTGGACACGATGGACCGGATTTTCGACGACGTCGCGCTGGGGTTCCCCGCCACGCCGCGGAGGTCGCTGGCGACGGGGGAGGTGCGGATGCCGTGGGACGTCATGGAGGACGACAAGGAGGTGAGGATGCGGTTCGACATGCCGGGCCTGTCGCGGGAGGAGGTGAAGGTGATGGTGGAGGACGACGCGCTCGTCATCCGCGGGGAGCACAAGAAGGAGGAGGGCGAGGGCGCGGAGGGCTCCGGCGACGGGTGGTGGAAGGAGCGCAGCGTGAGCTCCTACGACATGCGGCTCGCGCTCCCCGACGAGTGCGACAAGAGCAAGGTCCGCGCCGAGCTCAAGAACGGCGTGCTGCTCGTCACCGTGCCCAAGACGGAGGTGGAGCGCAAGGTCATCGACGTGCAGGTCCAGTAGACGAATCGCTGCTACTACTACTGAACGATCACTCTGGAGGATGTGAGCCTGTGAGCGTGAGGGTTTAAGCAGTGTGAGGTTTGAAAAAGTCGTGTACTAGAGGTTGTAATTACTCAGCGAACGAGCGAATGAATGGAATAATGCTAGTATGAGATAAAAGGTTTGGTTGCTTCATCACCTCATGCCTACATCCAAATTGCTGTAGTTCTGGCGTTTCTCCATGAGGAAAATTGTAGACAGAAATAGCTGTGATTGTCTATGAATCTTTGAACAGAACCAGCAGTTACCAAGGCTGAGACACTGAGCTTAGCTAGTTAGCTGTTGTGGACTTAGAATGCGCCTTATTGGACAAATTGTACTTACAATGTCGTCTTATAAGTGACAGATAAAATATCTCAAGAAGTTAGTCATGGAGAATTGCTCGGATGAATGTACCGTGGGGAATTATTGGCTTGTTGCTCGGATCAGGAAAATTGTCATGACGCGGGCCGCTGATCAGACGATCCTTCGGAAGCACCTGATTCAACGGCTGAGACGCTTCCAGCCGTCGTCATTCCTGACTTTTCGCACATCTGCAAATACTGTACTGTTGGGGCAAGAGCGCTCCGCGTCTGTTCACCGGCCGCCTGAAACTGGTAAGCTCCGGCCGGCCTAGCAGCCGCATAGTACGCGTGCAGTTGTGCTTGCTGCTGCTGTGCCTGTGCTGCAGATACACCGTATCCACCATAGTAGCCCTGGTTAAAAATCATTCGTTGCCACGGTCAAATACTGAATTTGTCCATGACAAAATTAAGGACGTGCCGTTGACAAACATTTAGTTGTAGTAAAAGAAAAATTCGAGAAGGAAATATTCCAACCATGTGCGCTTGGTGCGTTATTTCCGGAGAATATCCTCCATGGTATCTGCAGAAGTAGAATATCAGGGGAACGGATTTCCTTCAAATTAAAATGTGACAATTTACAGCGCAGAACTGAACATGGATTACGAATATCTGTAATCTGCTGTTTCGGATTTGGAGTGCTTACCCATAGCAGTAAGGGTAGGCGTACAGAACTTGGGGGAAGTAGGAAGGAGCAGAGCCCTGGTACGACGAAGACGACGCGATCATTGCGGGCCTCAATCTGGCCATCCCTGAAACAACAGCACAATAGGATATCAGCGAAAAATCCGGTTTTATTGTGATGGGGAAATCCGGCTGACAAAAAGGAGAAATCAAACTGCACCAAACGGCGCCGCGACAGGGTGCACGCGCCGCGCCGCGCCGAACGCCGCCAGGTTGCAGTTGGCCCTTCTCCCGTCGATCACCGGCGTCGGGTCCTGCAGCGCCCGCGCCGCGCCGTCGGGGTCCCTGAACGTCACCTGCCGAAACAGACATGCGCCGGAATAAGTTTAAACGGAGGCCAGCTGCTATCTGCAGGAGGAGGAGCAAGGAGAATCGGAGATGGGCGAGGCGTACAAAACCGTAGCCCTTGGAGCGGCCGGTGTGCTTGTCGGCGATGACAACGGCCTCGACGATCTCGCCGAACTGCTCGAAGTGGCGCCGCACCGCGTCGCCCCTGGTCTCCCACGGCAGGCCCCCCACGAACAGCTTCGTGAACGTCGTGTCGCCGTCCATCGATCGACGGGAGGGAACTGCGGCGTACGGGGGGCGGGCTGGCTAAGCCACGACCGACGTCGTCCGTGTTTTTATGCGGTATTTTGCGCGAGGACGCGAGATGGATCCCACGACGGCAAAGGCAAAGGCATGGACGTGATTGTCACGAACGCGGATGCGTTGTGAATGAGTCGGGCTGGGCCACGTTGAAGCTCCAGAGATGACCTTGTTGCATGGAATAAGTTTATTTTAGATCTCTTGACATCGAATTTTGAATTGCTTCCTTGAACAGTACTATTACCAGAAAAGATTGGGGTCGAGTACAGGCTGGTGAACTGGGTGCCCCCTGTCGTCCACACGCGGGCGACCGGGGGCGAAACCCTAACCCTTGGCTGCCGCCACCCTTCCCTCCTCTCCCCCGCCTCGCCGCCGCCGGAGTGTGCCGCCAGAAACCGCGCGGCACGTCGGGATGGCGGCAGCGGGGCCACAACCCCGGCGACAGCCCATCTCCGGCGCGAGGAGGCGGTACGGCGTGTTGGGAGGGCCGGCGGCGGCGCGGCGCGTGGCTGCGGATCTGGCGCCGTTGCCGCTGGATTTGGCTCCTCCACGGCTGGTTCCGGCCCGTCACCGCCGGATCTGGCCGGTGCCGACGACGGAGCGGGCGACGGCGGCGGGTAGCGCGCGACGACAGCGGCGGCAGGTGGTGCGTAGGGATGGCAACGGGGCGGGTCGGGGGAGGGTTGGACTAGAACGGCCCCGCCCCTGACCCCCGACCTCTCCACCCACCCCCGCCCCCGAGTGAAGATGCGGGGCCAAACCATCCCCCGCCCCCGCCCCCTGCGGGGACCCCAACGCGACCAGGGCCCGCAATGTGTAGCCACTCCATCCAATCAGCAAAAAAAAAAGATACAAGATAATCGCTATTCAGCAAGAATAAATATTGTACATACTTCACACATCATCAAAAAAGCACGAATACTTGGATAGGACCATCGAAATTCAGTAAGAACATAGCAAGAACACAAATATTTCTCTGTGTGAATCCTCTTCTCACATGGCGCCTACACAGCTCCGTTCGCCGTGAACCCAAGCCTGCGCGCTGCCTACTCCTCTGCGCCATCGCCTCCTCTGTGTTGCGGCCTCTGCGCCGCCCCACCGTCTCCTTTGCACCATCGCCGCCGCACCTCTGCGCCGGGTGGATACCAGAGGGAAGAGGAGGGGAGGGCACTGGGGAGAGGTTGACCGGAGGGGAGAGGAGAGGAGGGGAGGGGAGGGCACCGGGGAGAGGTCGACCGAAGGGGAGAGCAGAGGAGGGGAGGGCACCGGGGAGAGGTCGACCGGAGGGGAGAGGGAGACTGGCGAGTGGCGGCGGCTGTGACTGAGGAGGGAGAGCGGCGAGAGAAACCGTGACTCCGTGAGATCCAGAGTCGGGAAGCAGTGCGACGTGGGGGGAGGATAAGGTAGGGTTAGGATTTTTTTTTCTTATATACCCCGGATTCCAGAGTATTTAATTAGGATGGGCTTTTTGGGCCTACAATGGATTATATTTTGAGAGGTTTAATATACCCCCGGGGCCCCATGGGTCACCCATGGGTGGAATGTTTCCCCTGTCCTGTACCCGACCAAATGCGGGGCCCCGGCCCCGCATTCCCGCGGGGCAGAAATATCACCCGCCCCCGCCCCTGTAGGGGCGGGTCCCCGCGGGGGAAATTGCCATCCCTAGTGGTGCGGGAGATGCGGGTGACGACACGGCTTGCCAGCGGTGAGGCTGGCAGCTGACGAATGCCGCCGGCGTGCTTGGTGGTGGTGGCATCGTGCGAGGAGCCGAGGCGGCTTTGCGGCGCCGGCGCCCAATGTTGATGGTGGAGGTGGTTGGCTGCGCCCGTCAGTGAGGTTGTGCCCGCGGGGAGCTCCGGGGTGCTCGGTCGTCACCTCGTAGGAAGGTCGGTGAATCGGGGCAGTGCGGCATTCTTCGACGATCGTGTGCGATTTGGTTCGGTGTGTAGGAGAGGATAGGGAACTGTAGGCGAAAGACTTGCCGTGTCTTATGGCCAGCTTGACGATGGCAACGCCTTCGGCGCCGTTCCCCTCCTTTGAGGCATCGTTACGATGTGTTCCCTCTTCTTCTTTTACCATTGTGCTCCGGGTGAAAACCTTGCCCCGATTTCTGGGCAAGCGGCAACGGCGATTCACCTCGCGTCTCTGTTGGGAGTGCCATTTGGAGAACCTTTCATGTACATGCCCGATCGTGGAATTGGCGTTAGCTCCAGGGCTTCTACCTTCACACCGACGCTTAATAGGCCGGGAATGTTCGGCGAGGCATTTGCCTTGTTGGATCTGCTTCTTGCTTTGTAGTAGGCGGCCAACGGCCTTGTTTGATTCTGCTAGGTGGAGTTGGAGCTGCTTTGTTGATGGGGTGCGATGAAGCTCGTCAACAATAACACGTTGCAATCTCTTTCTAGGTGTGTTGGTGCCAACAACAAGTAGGAAGCGGTGATACGGTGGCTTTGGCTAATGTTCTCCATGGGAAGTCGGAGCTGCTTGGTTGTTTCTGCGATGAGCTTGGCAACGACGACACAAGTTTGCCGTGAAATCGAAGTTGCTTTGCTTTGGCAAGCTTGGCAACAATGACATGCTTTCAAGTGAAGGTCGGAGCTGCTACGTCACTTTTGCGCAAGCTTGGCCACTCCATCGATGGTCTATTTTGAGTGGGTTGTAGCGTTGAGTTGTGCGTGCTGTGAACTTTTCGGCCGGCAACAATAGCGTCCTTTGTTTTTTTTCTTGTAACCCATCTGGGTTTTTACTCCTGCTTATTGAAAATATAATTGGCAGCCTCTGCCTGCCGGTTTAGTTTCAAAAAAAAAACTATTACCAAAGATAACACATCTCTTAACTTATAATACTGGATGAGATCACAGGGCGATATTCTGACTAGTTTTAGCATGGGACCTATGTGAGCCCCACATGTCAGTCCCTTTATATCTTTCTACCTATCTGATTGTTTGATGGTATTTTGGTGATTATATGTGTACGCAAGATTTACTCATGATGGACAAAGCAAACAAGCAAGTTTATAAGTTGGTTAGCTTATCATTTCTACGCAATGCTTGGCCATATATATACACGCAAATACATGCATGCACATGCACTCAGGGATATATATACTTGGATTAGTATATGTGCATGTATAATTAACCAATAACTAGCCGTGTGAAGATTGGCTGGTGAGGCAATCACGTGCATGCATGCATGTACTACAGTAGACGGCCGTATGTGTGTGCATGCCTAGGTGATTAAGCAACCTATATGCATATCTGATTAATCATGGGCTCGGCCCATGGCCGAAGATGATAGCTGCCTACGCGCGGGTGGCTAGACCTCTATCTCGCCAAGATTTCAGAAGTTAATATGCGGAAGAGATAAAACCAGATGAATTAAGAGATAACCAACAAACCAATTGATTTTATCTCTATAACAAACTTGATCGAGTTAGTTACTTCGCGCGAGCACTGGCAAGGCGCTTATCACCGGACTGTGGCCCAGTAACAGAGAAACAAAGCGAATTACAAATCAAGTTTATCTCTATTGATTGTTTCTTATCTACAGAAATAATGATGAAGGAATCGCCACCCAGCTGCGCACGCGCGGGCGGCTGGGCCTCCATCTCCCCGATGCTCAGATGTTTGACGCTGGGAGAAGCTAAGAGATAAAATCAAATAAGGATATAAACAGATAACAAACTGATCGATCAAGCCTTATTTGCAGCGAACTTGACGCGGAGGAAACGGCGCGCGGATGCGGTGAGCACCGACCTCAGACGCCTATATAAGACGTCTACCCCTCGGCAGCCAGGGGTCATTCACGAACTCATCTACACATTCATTACCAACGCATCCAGTATCCACAAGCCATCCATCATCAACGCATCTGCCCATCGATCAACACACAACGCAGCCATCCATCCTCGACGCAATCATCCATTCTCGACGCAGCCATCCCTCGTCATCAACACATCCATCATCCAGCACCGGAGCAACAGCGCGCGCGCGGCCGGAGCACACCGGCAGTGGCGAGCAGCTTCAGACGAACCGGCGTCCGGCAGGGGAGCACGAGGAGGGAGATGGAATCGATGGTTTTCCAAGGTAAAAATTAATTAAGATCAGTTTCTTTCTTATTTTATATGCAGCACGTACATACGCATGCTTGGAGAGGCATCAACTAGAGTATGGAGGAGTACACTCGTGCGGCCGCGTCGGTGTGCGCTGGTGTTATGGCGCCGGATGATAGCAGCGGCTATCGATCTGCGTCAACAAATATCGCCCAGTTACAGATTAGATCGGCGACCGGCGGCCGGCGACACTTCGTGTAGGCGACGACGGCTATCGGCGACCGGTGGCTGGCGGCACTCCGTGTAGGCGACGACGACCATCGATCTGCGTCAACAAATATCGTCGGCCTGTTACAGATCAGATCGGCGACCGGCGGCCGGCGGTCTCACATCTCATGATCGGATCGGCAATCGGCGACCGACGCGTGACGGCAGCACCCGAAGGACGACGGACGACCGTCGGCCTTACATACACACGTCGCACGGCGGCGTGGCGGCAGAAACAGGAGGGAGGACGATAGGGAGATAGCAAGTTAGCAAATGCAAGCATGCTAATTAAGCTAATTATGGTGGCCACATGGCCAGCCAATCGGAAGACGACACATCATCAAAGTGCTATAGTGCCATGCAACAAGTCATGTTCGTTCTTGTCCTTTTCAACTGGGTGTTAGCTGTGATTAAATCCAGCTATTACACGTGCTGATCATCTCCAACAATTCCTGATTCTTCTCTAATCTAATCTCGACGCAATTGCTGTGACGTCAAGTCGTTCGAGCTACGCAACTCTATGTATGTCTTCACCAACAATCTACATCGACACGTTGTTCAAGACCAACGAGGCTAGACGATGGAGGGCGGGCGAAGCCGATACGAAGGCCACGCTACCAACACCGGCGCACGGACCGACGAGGCTGTAGATCGCTGCCGGCGCTCACACACACACATCTACATCATCATCATCACAACCATGCATGGAGAACGCGAAGCGAAGACGACGAGACGACCACAAGTAGCTTAATCGGAGGTTCTCTTATAGGCCTAGACCTGCGGAGGTAATTAACTGGGAGCTTCTCGAGGCCCCAGGAACCAGGAGACCACATCGCACAAGTTAGATCTGTCCAATGACAGATTATGGAGCACGCATACATATATATTATATTGGAAATTTGTATTTACGATCTTTTAAGATTCGCCCGCACATATATGTATTTGTTAGAGATCTAAGATGTTATTTTTCTGCCCTAAACACTGATCTTGGTGGCCACTTGCCACGATGGCAGTGGCGCTCCCCGACCGCTCCTTTCCCGCCGGACACAGCCCTTCTCCCTGCCGGGCACTGGCAGTGGCAGGTAGGCTCTTCTCGCCACCGTCATCCCCGCACTTATCCGGCATCCACCATGTCGCGCTCACGCTCCCGCACTCATCCGGCGGCCACAGTCAAATATGCCACCGAGGGGCTCTAAGCTTCCAACTGACACTGGCCAATCCATCTACGTACACCAAGAACTCAAGGCCTTGCCCAATCAAGCCCGTCGGCACCACCCATAGCGCATCCGCCGCGACGAGGAAAAACTGGACAAGGAGGCACGCGCGCCCGTGGAAGCTCCGCCCCTATCCCCTGATATAGACTGCTTTCTGGTTGATCTGTTAGTAGCGGGCACGATGGCGAGCTGACGGCTAAGCTGAGTTGCACGCATATATAGTTGTAGGTGCGGGTAGAAAAAACCGAAAAAAAGACTAGGATCGAGACTGGAAAATTTGGTCTCAACTATTGAAACCGAATTTGTTCGGTCAATTTGGTTGGTACCTTTGGTTAACCGAATAGACCGAACAAATCGAATTTTGGTCCACTAGGTCCATTAAGGTCCAAACAATCCAATTGAATCAAAATTTGACCTAATTTTAGCCTCCAACATGGTTTAATTTGTGATCCATGATAGTGAGAGTCGATTTGTGATTTTTATGTGTACTTTTATCTATAACTTATTAGAGACTTGGCTTCTATTATTTTGGACCTTCTGAAATTTCAGTCTGTCTCCAATTTTAGATGACCGAAATCATTTACTACCTAAAAAACTATTTGAATTTCTTATATTTTAAAATTCAAATTTTATATAGTTCAATCAAACTCGGATGGAGAGATGACCAAAAGAAAATTGGTAGATCTCAATGACTTCTACAACTTTATTTTTGGCAACTTTTTCATATGAGTTTATTTAAGACCATAAAATTTGATTCGAAGTTCTCACATTTTTAATTAATTTTTTAATGATTATTTTTACATGCGGACCAAGGAGCCGATTTTTGCATGCGGCTTCTTAAGTGGTTCACATGCAAAAATATCAACAGTTTTTTCCCTCCTCACCACTTCAAAAATTTTCATCTCCCCTCCTCTCCTCTCTCTCTCTCCTCTCTCTGATATCCTCACCCCTCTCTTTTTCTTTCTCTTCCTCTCTCACTCTCTTTCTCTTCCTCTCTCTCTTTCTCTCCTTTGCGTGTGGCCAACGAGGAGGCGCCGAGCAGCGGGCGGTAGGCGGCGTCGAGCAGCGGGCGGCGGGCGGCGGCGGCTCGGCTTCCTCGGCTCGGCGACCGACAACGACGACGGCCGCGGTGGGAGCGGCGACGGCGGGCAGCGGGAGCGGCTACGGCGGCGGCGGCGGCTCGGCGGCCGACAACGACGACGGCCGCGGCGGGGGCGACGGATCCGGCACCGGTGACGACGATGGGTGGCGGGGGCGATGGATCCGCCGCCGGCGAGGACGCTGGGCGGCGGGGGCGACGGATCCGCCGCCGACGACGACGGCCGCGGTGGGAGCAGCGACGGCGGGCGGCGGGAGCGGCTACGGCGGCGGCGGGCTCGTAGCGGGGTCACGACGGCGGCTTGGCAACCTCGGCTCGGCGGCCGACAACGACGACGGCCGCGGCGGGGGCGACGGATCCGATGCCGCCGCCGACGGATCCGGCACCGGTGACGACGATGGGTGGCGGGGGCGATGGATCCGCTGCCGACGACGACGCTGGGCGACTGGGGCGACGGATCCGCCGCCGACGACGACGCCGAGCGGTGGGGGTGACGGATCCGGTGCCGCCGCCGACGGATCCGGCGCCGGCGACGGCGGGGGGTGGCGGGAGCGATGGATCCGCCGCCGGCGACGGCGTGCGGCGTGGATGCGGCGCTCCGGTGGCGGGCTAGGGTTTGGTTTGGGGTTTTTTCGATTTTATTTTTTTTGTTTGCTCAATTTATTTTCGCATGCGGCCGGTATAAGCAACCGCATGCGAAAATCGGTTGCGCCGGCCGCATGCAAAAAGGGTGATTTTTACAGACGATTTCGTCCATGCGGTTGTGCGGTTGGCACAACCGCGTGGAAGGATGGTTCTCAGCCGTATGGAAAAACCATATCTGTAGTAGTGCCTGCCGAAGCAGAGCGGAGGAGGAGAAGCCGAGGCGTCGGAAGGAGGTGGAGTATGGCGAAGAGAAGCCAAAAGATATGTGAGCATATGATTTATTTTCTTTCTACTAACTTGTGGATCCCACTATTTTTATTTACTTTTTCTAATTGTTAAGCCATGTAAGTGCCATGTCGATACCACATTAGATAAAGACTAAGTCAAAGCGTCATATGGGTGTCACGTCAGTCAAAACCATCCAAACCACTTTGGGACTATATTTACACTGATTTTGGAAGATGAGAAATATATTGTATCGGTTTTGTGGTTAAGTGACGCGATCCAAACTCTACGCTTAGATGAGTGGCCTAGAGTGAACTTTTTCCTTGTTGCAAAGTCCAAAATAGAGCTTATACGAGCCGGGAGAATACATATGGGCTTTTCACTGCGCCGAGATAGGCTGTGGGTTCGCCAAGACTTCGGCGGATCCCTCGACCGTGCACGAACCTTTGCGCTATTTTCAGCTTTCGCTTTCTTACCTGTGAACAGCGCTCCAGCAGCAGGTCAACCGGCTCTACCACCTGAAAGTCCCTTTGATCAAGTGCACCATGACCGAATGAGAAAAATAGGAGGCCCCAGCACCAAAAGGCGATGAATATCAGTCACTGATGTGTGTGCAAAGTGATACTATTGAGATTCTTGTGCTCGCAACCTGTCGGAACTAATGAAGACACCGGAGGTAGGACCAAATGGGAACGACCCCAACACCCCATCCTACTGTTTTAATTGCAAGAAACAATGGAAGTAGATGCAAACCATAGCTTAGCTGATGCCAAATTACTCATTAGCTTCCCCACATTGTGGTCTCAGCGAACACAACAAACACTGGGGCACCACAAGTCATGGCAATCAATACCATGGCCCCGGAGCATCCTGCATGCCGTTCCATTTCATTTTTTATCTACCTACCCCAACTTTCTTCCATCAAGACGAGAGTTGACACCACTTGACGATCTCACGCTGCTACCACCAGGACAGCCATTGCTCCTGCCACTGCCGCTTGTGACCATCTACACGGACCCTTTTCAATCAAAAGCACAAACGAACGAGAAACACCTCATAAGAAGCAGCACATGGAACATAGTTTCATCGAGAAAACAACAAATAGAACAGTCGCGATGCGAAACACTGCCAGCTGCCCCTGTGCCCCACGAAGGAAAATTTCATCATTCCTAGTAGCCCTGCATCCTATATCCAACTTTGTAGGAACAGTATTTCCTAGTGGCAAGTATTATTGAGTACTGCAGTGAAATTTCTGGATATTGTGCCGGGTTCTCGAATCACCCAACAGCTCCTACCTTAAGAAGTAGACAGGTGAAAGTTAACCAAGTTCATAGCAGCATTATTACGTCCTTAATCCAAGAAAGCAGCTTAAGCTTCACATTCGAGTCTTGAAACTTAATGATAGTTGATTTTGGGTTTTTCCACCATACTTTATTTTCCAAACTTATATTTAAATTGCTAATTAGATTTACCTATAAACCACTCCCTCTGTTTCAAAATATAAATATTTTTAGCATAGTGACAAATCAAATATTTTCAACTTTGACCCTTAATAAAAAAAATCAATCATGTAAATTGATGTTACTAGATTTATCATTAAACAAATTATCATAATATGCAACTATTTTGATTTAAAACCTCTTACTTATATATATATATATATATATATATATATATATATATATATTGTTGGTCAGATTAGTATCTCGGAGACCGTGTTAGAGTCCAAAAATGCTTATATTTTAGGATAGGTGGAGGATTTTAATTACTTTGTTCATTTCTCCACGGGTTATCAGCCCTATCTCAGTCGATCAAAGCAACTGTGAGTACTGGAGTACTCTACTTCAGAGCATGAGCGAATCAGATTGATAGTGATGGAAATGTCATACTGAACTTTCAGACAAGAACCAGCATGATTCCCTTGGCCGATTCGCGGAATCTGCATCTGCGTGACAACTGATGCTGATGTTAATTTTGCATCGAATTTTCTAATCGCGTCATCTAATTCCCGTGCAGACCATGGTCAACCTACGAGCATGCGCTCACATGATGCGATCACCAAATTAAGTGTCATCTCCTTTTCAGAAACAATACTACCGGCAAGTCAATGCCTGAACCATGCAATGCAGGCACGAACAAGCGAGATGGAGGAAGAGTAGATCTCACCGCGGAATCCGGCGATGCCGCCGAGATGTCGTAGTAGCCGCTGTTAACTCCGTTGTTGTCGTAACCGCCGCTGACATTGCCGCCACCACCTCCGGGGAATCTCCAACCGGAGTTGCCGGCGCCACCGAACGTGGAGTTGTCGCGCGGGAGCTTGTAGGAGAGCTCGTACACCGGCGTGCCGTCGGGCTTGAAGAGGCCGTAGTTGCGCTCGGACGCCAGCCCGGGCTTCAAGTTCTCGTTGAACAGCGCGAACACGTACGCGCGCATCGCCACCGTGGGCTTCAGCGGCGTGCCCTTCCCCTCCGCCACCAGCCGCATCGCGTTGCTGTTGTACCTCGCGGCGTTCTGCGGCGTCGCGGCCGTCTCGCCCGGGTCCCCGGAGGAGGGCCACCCGGTCTCGGAGATCCGCACCTCGACCACCTGAGCCGCCGCGGTGTTCGCCGCCGCGATGGCGTGGTAGACGGCGTCCACCTGCGCGACGAGGAGGTTTGGGTAGCGCAGCCCGGAGTTTGGGTCCGGGACGCCGGCGTAGCCCGCCTCGAGCAGCGCGTACTCCAGATGGATGCCCTTGGGGTCGCCGGAGTAGGCGAAGTAAGGGTAGGCGTTCACCAGGAACGGCGAGCCGGTCCTCGCGTGGTAGTCGAGGATGGGGCAGATGTACGGGAGGAGGTCCCTGCGGAAGGCACCCGACGAGGGCGGATAGGACGTGCCGAGCACGCCGAGGTTGTGCGCCGTGGTGACGGCGATCTGCTTGTCGAGGCCGAGCTTGGCGAGCGCGCCGTGCAGGGACTGCATCGCCGGGAGAAGAGCGCGCGTGACAGCGGAGTTGTTGCCCGTGAGCACCTCGTTGCCGACGGTGAGCGCGGCGATCTTTGTGTCCGGCAGGAAGGGCATGACGTTGGACCTGAGCCACGAATCCGCGCCACCCGGGTCAGCGAGCCCGGCCAGGGACTGGTCGGGCACGCCGACGAAGAGCTCGACCCCGGTCTTGGCGAAGGCGTGCAGCACAGCAGGGTCGGCGTCGTAGAGCCGCACGCGGCCAATGCCGAGGCCCTCGAGCAGCGGCAGCACGGCCTGCGGCGGCGGGAGGTTGCTCCCCACGCGGCCGTAGTTGATGCCCACCAGCGACGCCGACGTGGCGTCCGAGGCGGGCGCCAGCGCGAGCGCGAGCGCGCACAGAGCCGCTGGTAGCCAGCCAACGCGGAGCAAGCAGCTGGGCGGCGCCATCCGAGGAGCAGCGGAGTGGATTGCACGGGTGTGGGTTGATTTGGGAGGAGGTGATCTGATCAAGTTACCTCCTGCACCTGGAGGCTGTGGAGCTTATCACTCGGGGGGCAGAAGTGACTGTACTTCGAAGTTCTACTCTGCGTGCAACAGTATATTTGTTACGGACACGAAGAACTCTCTCAAAACCGGACCCACAAGTCAGTGAGACAACGGGGCAAAATCACACGGGTGTTTGTTGCTACTCGCATACGGCAATTTAGCGCTGCTAGTAGCAGTCTGTTACGGGGTCGAACCCGATGGACGGCGGACGCCATAAACGGCATTATTTTCTGAGGCGAGACGTTGCGTGAATGAATTGGCATGGTCCCGGCGTTGTGGCCCATGCGATGTCATCTCGAAAGGCAAATCAGAAACCGCTTGAAATACGCAATTTGCGGACCAACTTGTAACGGCTACAGGACGGGACAGGATGAGCCTGAGCAAGGAAGGCCCACGAGGCAAGAGAGTGTCTTTTGGTCTGTGGGATGGGGGCCCATAAGCAAGCAGCCCGTATGGTCGAGACCAGAAGGATTAAGTTCATTTTAGGTCCCTTAACTTGACAGCGAGTTCAATTTGTTCTTGAACCGAAATACCAGATACAACATGTCCATTAACCATCAAAACCAGTGCAATGTAGGTCCCGTAGCAGTATAGCAGGTTGTTTTATCCAACGTGACAATTTGACCCGAGTCAATAACGCGGAGTCAGCGTGAGCCCCATATGTCAGGGTCTCTTCACCTATCCCTCTCTTCCTCCACTTGTTTCCATCTCACCAGGTGGTGAGTGGTGAGGAGAAGGCCGGTGATAGAAGATGAGGAGGACGGTGGTCGACGGACGCCGACTCTAGCGAGGGCCCATGCTGCACGAGCTAGGATGATAGTGATGCAGACTACAGCACGCGCGACATCTGGTAGAAGCACTCCCCCTGGAACGGCACGGAGAGCCTCCACATAATGGTCATTGAAGCTACCACCGCCACGGCGAGGGCGGGCAAAGAAGCAGAGAGATAGCTATACTGGCCTCACATGGCGAAAGCTATAGGTGGTGGTGGTGGCGGCCATGGCCTGGATTTCCCTATGCTTTTGAGCTTGCCTTGCCTCGCCTCGTGCTCCGATCTACACACGTAGCTGTGACACCACGCTTTCCCCCTTTCCCTAGCTCACCCCATGACCGCCCTGCTTAGCTCATCCTAGAGAGATGAAGAGGAGAGAGCTCTGCTCAGCTCATTATAGAGAGATAAAGATGAGAGAGTTATTGGGAAGTAAGAAGCAATGTGGTGTTGACATTGTGAGGGAGTGTTCTTCATGGAGGTCTTTGCGATGTGACGCATTCTCTTATTGGCCATCTTATTGGTTGAAAAATGAAACAATAATGATGTTGTTGGATCACACCTTATTGGGCTATAAGATGGCTTAGCTTACAAATTGGGCTGGATGTAGTTGTACGGGTTGTTATGCGAGAATTTTCAGGTACAGCACACATCGAGGGAAGGAAAAGAAAATAAAAGAAAAGAAAAAGAAGGTGGGACTTAATTATTTTATTTGTAACTAGCACTCATTGACACCTGAATCCTACTGTTTTTTATGGTTGCAAGTGCCACGTCAACATCACGTAGGACGATGACCCAGTCAAACTAGCCACATCAGCTAAAACCGCCATCCAAATTAAAGCACCCTGGAACCAAGTTTACATTGGATTTAGGAGTTGAATGATACATTATATCTGATATTTAGGTTAAGGGATGAATCTCATACTTGGCGTCAAATTGAGGGACCAAAAGTGAACTTATTACCACATCGAGGGATGACAACCGGTCCCATGCCCTGACAAAACGAACGGCAAAAGGCCCAAGAGTTTGCTTTTTCAACCGTTGGAACCTTGAGCCCTCCGTAGTTCCTGTCTCTGTCTCCAGGGGAAAAAAAAGAGAGGAAACAATAGCTTCAGTCCAATATATTACAAGTCATTTGATCTTCTTTTTAAGTCAAATTTTATTAAGTTCGATCAAGCTTATTGTAAAATTTAGCAATATCTAAAATATTAAATCAGTTTCATTAAATCTAACATTGAATATTTTGATAATATGTTTATTTTGTGTTAAAATACTACTATGTACTATATTTTTCTAAGTTTGTATAAAAAAGTGAAATGACTTATAATATAAAAGGGTCTGCTTTATAACGGAATCCCGTTTTCGAACGGGATGATCCTGAGTAGGTATCAAGTGTGATACCTATCAGGTATCAGACGATTCAACACAACAGGATGATCCGAAGTAGGTATCAGCTGTGATACCTATCAGGTATCAGGTGCGATACTTATCAGGTATCAGATGATTCTACACATGTTTCAGGAGATACTTGCAAGTATCATGTGATACTTATCAGGTATCATGCGATTTCTACCACGTATCGCGTGATACTCGCGAGGTATCATGTGAAACCTGTCAGGTATCAGACGATTTCTACTACGTATCGCGTGATACTCGCGAGGTATCATGTGATACTTGTCAAGTATCAGACGATTTCTACCATGTATCGCGTAATACTTGCGAGGTATCGGATGATACCTATCAGGTATCAGGTGATTCCTATTAGATATAGTTGGGCATCCCGTTGGGGGAGGAGCACCTCGACACGTGTGGTCGGCCCCCTGCAGCCGTCCCTTGTAGACGAGGACGGTGACGTCAAGGGACAGGCGCGGCGACGGCAGGCGCGGCGATGGCGGCGGTAGCGGGGACGGGCGCTGCGGCGGCAGCGAGGGACGAGCGCGGCGGCGGCGGCGGGGGATAGGCGCGGCGGCGGCGGACGGGTGCGGCGGTGGCGGCGACGGCAGAGGCGACGGGGGACGGGCGCGGCAGTGGCGGGGGATGACGACGGCAGCGAGTGAGCAGGAATCACGTTGTGGAGGAGGAGCTATCCCGTTGGGGGACGGTATCCCGTTTCCTAGCATTCCCGATATAAAATGGTGGGAGCATTATGCATTTTTTTTCTCACCAAAAAACATATACGTTTCTCAACAACCCTTTTCTCCATACATGTTCTTTTTTAAAAAAAGAAAACCATACAATTCACATATTTAAATTACCTGTGCGTATCGTTTGATAAAAAAAAGGTACATGTGTCTGTCAAGACGTTTTATGGTGTGCTTGGGTAGTATTCCATGTACCTTCCCCTTACTAAACATCCACCAGTTATTTTATTTTAAGATTAATTTAGGTATACAAATGATAAACAGGGGTATCTTAGTAATTCTTAATTAAACGTAATCTTTCTAACTTCTCTTTGTCTGGCCCTCGGCCCTCCGCCGATTGCCGTCGGCTCATCTTTGCGTCCTACTCCATCCGTTTCACAATATAAGTTATTTTAGCATTTTCTATATTTATATTGATGTTAATAAATCTAGACTTATATATCTATCTAGATTTATTAATATCTATATATAAATGTAAAAAATACTAAAATGACTTACATTTTGAAACGGATGAAGTACGTAAATTTCTAGCATCAAGTCAATAGACTAATCTCCTCTTCCCTATATTTTGACTCTCATATGTAATTTGACTACATATTGACTAGTGAGAAGGTATAATCCAAACACATTAGAAACGAATCCCTACGAATCTTCGTTTCAGACTCGTTCTTAATTATTGATACCTGTGATTTGTGAACAACAATTAGTGGGTAATCTAGGCCTCACGCGATATTGTTGAGCCATTGGTCGATGACGAACATATCAGCGACGATATGTAACATCGCTCTCCTAGATGTCCATCTGCCCCCACACTCACCAAGTGCCCAATAGTAAGATCAAGGGGCTTCCTTAGGAAGAAACTAATTCTTTTACTGGTTTATCCTTCATTCTTTGTTGTGATACTGGGTCTGAAAATTGCATATCTAACCTATCGCTTATACTCCCTCCATTCCATAATATAAGTCACAACCACTTTTCTTAGATGTTCCATAATATAAGGCATACATACAAACATACAATTAATTATGATATCTTCTCCATTAAATTATTACTTTTTTAAATCCTCCACTCTCATGCTATCTAATCCTATTGGATGCATGCATTATATTTATTAGGATGATCCAAACTACAAGATGATAATAATTATTTCGTCTTTGGGTTAAGAGTGGTTGTGCCTTATATTTTGGAATGGAGGGAGTATTGTTCAAGTTAAGAGTCCCGCTCTAGTGCTTTCTACCTGGAGTAGAAAGCAATCTGAGCCGTTGATCATATTTAGTTGGAGGGTTGAGATTTAGTTCTACTTCCACCAAAGTTAGTAGTAGTAGAAATTTGGAAGAGTATATTCGTCCAGGATAATAATTCACGTAGGGGTATTATCGTAGTTTATCAGTATCTAACTCACCCTCTCCCTGCGCCAACCCGGGCCACTACATCGCGCTCGTCACCCTCCGTGTCGCCGAGGAGATGCGGCCACCGCCGCCACCGCCGGCGCGGGCTGAGAGGCACAGCACGGGCACGGTGCAGGTGACGCGGGTGAAGCTGCTCAAGCCGCGGGACACGCTGCTCCTTGGCCAGCCGTACCGCCTCATCACCGTCGACGAGGTCACCAGGGTGCTGCAGGCGAAGAAAGAGGAGAAGTCGAGGAGGGCGGCGGCGCAGCATCACCTGGAATCCAAGCCCGCCGGCGCCGCTGGAGTTGGGATCAATTCCAGCGGCGACGACCACACGCAGCCTATTAGGCCTGCACATTTATATATTGTTTCCTGCAGATGCAGTTGGTAGTAAGACAAGTGCTAGAGATTTGCCAAGTTAGGTGCCAACACCTGAACTCAAGTTCCCCTACAATGAACAAGGTTTGGTCGTTGAAGAACTGAAATGATTGACAGAACAGATCATCAAAGGGAAACTGGTGCATCATGCCATGTTTGTACATGGCTGCAAATATGTTCTGTTGGGGATAACTACCCTAACCTGAATTTATTTTCCTTTCTTGATGAATCCTACTCTCTCATGTCCCAAACACAATTTTGGTGTCCTAAATTATAATGCTATCAGGAAAGCAAGTGCTTTTCGAGCCAAACCTACTCATACAATTTCCATGTATCACCCATTTACAAATACCAATCCTAAAAAGCTTCAGAAGCTTGGCTAGCACATCTGTCCAAAACAACATGGGTTTGTGGCTGTACAACAAAGCACCAGAAAAAAAAAATCAACCATTGCTGGTTGGTTGCCCGGTACAGATTTCAGTAGGCAGAATGCCAGAATGTGAAAGAAAAAGCCCCAAATTCCATGGTAGAGAGCCACACAAATCAACGCACGTGCACCACGGAGGAGTGGTCTTTCTCCTGGAGATTGGAGATGACGGACATGTACAGGTCGCGCACGCAGCAAGGCGCTGGTAGGGCACGTCGGCCGCGGTCACCACGTCCGCTTCCTTCGCGTCGAGGGACGTCCGATGTGTGCAAGCAGAGCGAAACGATTTTCCCCTTCAATCAACGCTGGCAGCGCCGCCGACCGCGCCGCCGCTGACGGGAGTAGCAATAACCCTTTTTTTTAGGAGTAGCAATCGTACCTGATGCGAGCGATGAGACAGAGAAATATCCCATACCAAAATTACCCCTAATCTGTATTAAAAGATTACTAATGTACCCTTTAAAATAAAGGGTCGAGATTAATTCTATTTATAGTAGAATACTTTAAGTAGAGAGCACCAGAGCGTCACTCGTCAAGTTAATGCCTTGGCCAGTACCTTTCTACTGGCACGATCGTTAGATTATAGGTGTATCTATTATGTTGTACCCATCCGCTGAGCTTAAACAACCGCTTAAATCGTTGTCAAATTCTTGTATTAGGTCTTAAAACGACGTATCATGTATCCATGGTTGGTCTCATTCCACGCTAATACAGCTCATATCATGCAATCATATGATCCAATAATCCAATTACGGTGGCGCATTAATTGATTTTGCAGGTGGGAGTCGCTCTCCTGTCAATCATCAACCAGCATCGCACAGCGCTACTACTCCTAGAATCTAGCACGAAGCGACCTGCGAGGACATCAAATTCAGTGCCCTGTCCGTCGCCGTGCAAGCAGCACGAGCTGAATCGTGCATATGAATGGCCCTAAAATCCAAATTCGCACAGCTCAGACTGTGCGACCACAGTTCGTTCGATCGAAAGGAGGAGGACACGATGCAGACCAACAGTTTAAATCTGCCGACGACCGTGCCAGGGGTTGTAACCATCAGTTAAAACGATGCAATACTGCTACTAAATGTAGTAGTACTAAGCTACTACAGGTAGTAGGACTAACTGCCAGTCGTTCAATAGAGGCTACATCTACATCTATGACGGTCGCTCAGCGACCACACATCACTCTGATTATCATATTGTACTACACAAACAGTGCTAGTATAAAGCATGGATGTTAAGCTTAAGCCTGATGTTGGTACTTTACTAATTTCTGTTCATAACCAACCGCTTGATTAGGGACACTGATCATTCGGCACAGCTGGGGTCATCAGCATACAAAAACGAGAACATCCTCTTTGGAATTAGTTCTGCGTATTATTCGGCTGATACACTGATGTCGCAACTTACAGGTACAGGGTACTGACGCAACAGTGAAAGTACAAAAGATTATATTCTATTTGTGCTAAAAGAGTCTTTAAGAAATGCTTTAATTTTAGTTGAAACGAACACATCAAGTGACTAGTCTAAGTTCATGTCAGGCATTAGTTGGCAAGTACCAGTCTTGAAAGAGCTCGGTTTGTGACGTTTGCGCCATTCTTTTAGGCATGCAGGACGAGAGAGGGGATGCTTTGTTATTGAGTAGGCTTATCTGCTTGTTTTCAGTCTGACAGCGGTTCCTTCAACAACCGAAGATTCGTCATCTTGCCGTTCAAGAACAAATATTCCTGATTAATCTTGAAGGCTGCTGCTGATTCCCTTCAATCTCTAATCATTCTATCTAGCTAGTAGGTCAACACCGCGGCAAACAAACTGAAGCTGATCGGTTTGCTTACTGATTCATTTGAAAATATATATTGAAGCTCGGCTGTTTTCAGGGAAAAATAATACCCCATCAAGTATTGAACATCGCAAGCATGGGTTGATCACTAAAGTCTGGAATTGTTTATATCCAAAAAATTTTGGCTAAAAACGTTACACCAAATATTTTGACACATGTATAAGTAATTAAATGTGGGGAAAAAACCCAATTACACAATTTGCATGTAAATTGCGAGACGAATCTTTTGAGCCTAATTACGCCATGATTTGACAATGTGATACTACATTAAACATTTGCTAATGACGAATTAATTAAACTTAACAAATTTGTCACGCACCGTTTATATGATGCGAAATCTGTAATTTGTTTCATTATTAGTCTACATTTAATACTTCAAATGTACGTCCGTATACTTTAAAAATTTTACGAACACACCATCAGCTGACCCCACATACAGTCTAAATCTGGAGCCTGAATACGCACATTTTAATGGACGAAATCACACGGAGTCAGCGACCCAGAGGCCAGATAGCACATGGCTTACATCAACTCAAACACGCAATGATGGCGCTAATTGCCAGTATCATCCCACATTGAAAAAACAGAACGGTGTGCGAGACACAAAGGATGTTGTGCACTCCACGCTGCATGAGACTGCGAGCACCGTACGTGTACACAGCTATCCTGTCGCACGCAACGACAAACATGTAGCCTAGCAACAGGCTCGCGCGTGCGTGCCACCGGCGACCGGCCGGCCGGGCCCCTCGTCTCCGTCTGCAAGCTCCACGGTGAAACGAACGAGATGGAGACAGCGTGACGGTGCAGCCGCGTGGCGTGGCCTGGCCTGGCCGTACACACGCATGGCAACTCGGCAAATCACGCATCGGCATGGCGTTCCGACGCAGGACGGAGAGCTATAGCTAGGGGGTTGGAGAGACCAGTTGATCGATCGATCTACCGACTGTCGACCGATCCAACCACACAGACGAGCAATCACCGACACAACACAATCCGGGCTCTGTGGAAGGAAAAAAAAACGACAGGACGATGTTCAGTAGAAAGAGGCGGTCGCAGCTAAGGGCAAGTACTACGAGCCTCTACACATTGCCCCTAAATTTGTCACATAAGATTAGATGATGAGGTGGAGGAGAGAAGTTAGGAGAGAGAGAATGAGCCACCCCTCATGCAAGAGGCAACCTCTACACAATCTTCAAGAAAAGTGCAAGATGATGTGAGAGTAGACTAATATTGGGGTTTGTGTATTAGATGTGATATGTTGTATGCGTTGCCTCTTAATTAATGAGAAGATGACATGATCTAAATTAGATGTGACATCTACCTCTACTATAAAACTTGCCCTAATACCCCCAGCTAACGTCCCCTGTTCCTGATGAGTACTGACACATCTCTAGTGATGGCTACAGTGTATGGTTGTACGCGTACGTGAGTCCTGTGACATAGTAAAAGGTTAAACCGCTAATTTCAAGTACGCACTGTAGTTCGTGCGAACGAGCTAACAAAGCGACATGCATGAATGGCGTAATAGAAGTCTGAACTCTCTGAAGCCATAAAAACAACTAGAAAGGATTCGCGCGCTACGCTGCGCGGCAACAAAAAGGAAATAGAGAGAACAATAAATATTACAGGAAAGATTAGGGAAACAATGTATACACAATACATTATTTCATAGTACTAATATGCAGAACAAATAAAAAGAAAAGAGAACATGTCTACCCCTTTGTAGTAAGAGTCCATTCAGACATGATTTCATCTTTTATAAGTCCATGTGCAAGCTTCTCATCCTAATTCAATCGACAGCAGAAGCACAACAGCATGAATGGTTGCTTTGCTCCTGCAAACATGAAAGCTTTGTACCTACGTTGGAAAATATAACTCAGATAATAATTTCATTACAAAGCAGCATTGATCAAAGAGTGAGAGCATAAAACTAAATAGAGTGAACATAAAACAAAAAAATATATGGAAATTTGTAAGAACAACAGGAAACTGATTATTCGTATGCATCACCATCATCTTGCAAAGCACCTGTGACATACTAAACCCTCGAAAAGAAAGGGAGCTAGTGCTCTAGAATAACATAAGAATAAGGCCCTTGTGATTTGTCAATGTTTTATAAAGAAATCATGTTAGTTATTTAGTGGGCAACCAAGATTTACATCAAACCATTGAAATTACACCACCATACTGGTACTTTTTTTACCAATGATACACATAAATCACCGAGTATACTGTGTGATAGTCATTGAGCACACATCAAACCTTGTAGCAGTGTACGGATGAGATGTTGAATGTAACTCCTAGGAGTAAAATTCAGTTTTGAAAAGCATGTCGATTTGCATGCGTTTTTGTGTGGCCACTATTCTTCACACATTGAACAATACTATCTTATATCATATTTTCTGGGTTTGTGGAAAAACAAAATTAGAGTCAAACCCAAACTACAAACCAAATCTATATCTAACCACTGTGAGCCTAGTATTCTCATATTAGTACCAAAACCGTATTACGCAGCACAATGGCATAACAATATATATACTGAGCTCATCTATAAATGGCGTGGTGCTATACACCTAAGGCTAAGAACATACGCTTGGCTTTTAATGTAGCATATCCATCAAATAAAGGTAAGATGGGTGTGTCTTCTTTTTCACTTAATCTTCATGTGCGAATAATGCATAATTTCAAAAGAGACAACCAACAGAAAAGATCCATATGAATGCCAAAAAAATAAGTGCTGCTAGCTAGTAAAAGTTCATAACACAAGAAAAATGATCTGGTATAGGTGAATAGCATCTAAGTATTTAATATTATAAGAAAATGCTACCTGGGAGATGTACTAAACCATTTATTATACAATCAATTATAGGCAATCAAACATATTGCTTCTGAAAACAGAATGGAGGTAGTGGCACCGTAAAATCACAGGAAATAAAAAATTGAATAACATATCACCTGCAGGAGAGAATGACAGGCCTTGAGTAATTGTTGCATTTGTCATCACCTACAGAAACAACACCTAAATTTAATCAGGAGTGAGGAACATTGACCATTCTCATGATAGCACCAAGCCACCATCTAATGTGAGAGCTTATTCTAAGAAAACACGATAGTATGGTCACCAACTAAAACTACTACGCCCAAATCAAAAGCAGACACAATATGCTGGCAAAATTTAAAAGCCACCTTAGGTTCTTTTGGCTAGGTTGTTGCCAACTATCATCTTAGTGGGCTTCCTTGATATCTCATACTGAATGGATATGTTAACAGATGCTTGTTGAGGTCTCCTTTCCCTGCATGGAGAAGTGAAGCAATAGGATGGAAATGCTACGGATGTAGATGTGGTATTGAAGAGAACCACCTAGAACATAATAGAGGATAGTAAAATATTAACGGAGCTTATGTTATGCAGGGGTGAATGATGCTATGCATGTCATCCCCAAACCGATCAGGCCAATAAATCAGAATTGCTACTATGGGTTGAGATGAGAAGGCAGCCACACAGCTCAGATTCTAGCAAACACATCAAACAAAAAAAAGACGGGATTCTCAAGCATACTCACGAGCGGATGAACAACTTTGAACTAAAGGACCAAAATGCGATTGGGGCAGCAAACTTGATGGAGAAAATCATAGATGCTTTGTGTTCTGAGGTTTTTCGGATGGTTCTCCATGTGGTACGATGCACAACGTGATCAACAACAGGCCCTTGATCATTCCTGGCCTTTGTTTCCTGCTGGGAGAGAAATTGGTTGGATTAGATTTAAGCAACGTGAGCACCAGCTTGCTTGCACCCTTTTTTCCAACAAAGATTTGAATCAGAAAAGAAATCCAATCTTTTTACCATGGATGAGAACTCCAAACAAAAAAAAACTTACCATCAAGTAAACTGGTCGTCTCTATATAAAATCGAAGAGCAGCAAAGGCAAACTCCACGCCATCGAACAAGAACTCCAGCTCAGCTCAACGATTCCAAGAACCAGCCATGGGCTTTCGCCAACAAATCAAGAACAGCAATTTAGCCGAATAGGAGCTAATACTGCTGCTGCTAGCATAACCACAGGTGTGGAGCACCTCCCAACACCCGGCACCAACACCACACACGATGCTTCCTAGATCAAGCTCCCACATCCAGCGAAGATGAGCGGAGCAGCCAAGGAGGCACGCGGGGAGCTGGTCATCGCCGTACAGTGAGACGGGCGGCGATAGCTAGGGTTGATAGGGAAGGAGATTGTCCATCAGCCATCCGAACGTGAGATAGTGATACGGTGACCATCGCGGGGCACGAGCACAAGACCATGGTAGCTCTTGAGAAGGGGAGAATCGGCGACGCCGCTCCAGTCGAAACGGACATGGGCGTCGCTGTTGGTCGGAGAAGGGAGAGATGAAGGGTGAAAGTTCAAGTGCCATTGATTTGGTTTTGATGATTAATAACAAATCCAATTATGTGAGATTAATGTTTTTATAAGCATTTCTTTGCCTAGTCTCATGTGGATATGAAAGTGGAGTGTTGGTGGACCTAAATCACAAGGATGAAATACATGGAGATCAAGCTATATGTATCATTCTTTCTCTTCATGTACATATTGATATGTTCGTATATAATATTTCCACATGATTGGCATATGCATGTGAGACTAATGTTTTGTTTGAGTATCATCTCTTATTTAGTCTATTTACATTGAGAACGTGGAGATGATGAAGGTATGTTTTTATTTTATTGTCTATATTTGATAAATGCCTTCTACTCTTGTATAGGATAAGCTCTCAATGTTTAATATCTTGTTATGCATACTCTTGCTTCACACAAATATTTTGTATGCATACATTTAGGGGGAGCAAATCCTATACTTTAGTTATGCATGTAATCGATCCAAATTATTCACCTTCATTTAATTGGGATCTTTACACTTGAACATACATTTGAGTATATGACACTTGTGGTGTTGATTAATACTCATCATTTATTCATATCCTTTTATACATGCGATCGGTTGGTCAACATGTGTAGGTTGACAACCGGATCATTGGGACTAATAATTTTATTGAGTTGAATGAAAGAAATAGGTCCCAAGGATTACAAAGGTGTTGATGCTCAAGTGATATCATTACATCTAACAATACCAAGAATGACAAAGTGAAGATATTGAAGATGTGTGATACGAAGTGGCTATTATGGCAAGACGGTGAAGGGCAAGCGATGCTCGGTCGCGATAGACCATGCGGCGGTGAAGGGCAAGCAAGGGACTTGGCGCCGAAGAACCAAATCCAGTGGTGAAGGGTGAGTGACGGCTTTGTCATGATGGACCGTGCGAGACCATTTAAAGCTACAAGTAACCACATCAATCATTTGAAGAATATATGATGAAACGATATCGGCATTGGCGTCCCTCAAGACAATGAAAGAAAGATGAAAAAAAGGCATTCCTAATGGTATAGTTCTCTTCTTATTTACATTTGAGTTTAGGAATGCCATACTATTAAGAGGGATGCAACGTCGAGGTGTTTGTGTATGTCTCGGTGCTCAAAGTGACCTATCATAGTGCTACCTTGGGAGAAACCCAAGCTTTAACCTATCCTTTGAGTGGTTTTAGTCCTTGTTTTTGGTTGAGTTGGGTAGTCCTCTGAGTGAGCTTTCCATAGAGTCCAAGTTCATCAAAAACGGACTCCCGAGCGAAAAGTTATAGTCGTTTTACTCTGTGCATTTCGGAAAGTCCGAAAATTTTTTGGATAACTCCGAAACTTTTCGGACATTCCGAAAATGGCTGCGAATCTGAGATTTGCTTCTGTAAGTTTTCGGACTTGTCTGAAAATGCTTTTCGGAAACTCCGAAAATTACAGTCTTGGCCTCCAACGGCTAGTTTTTGAGGGGCTCGGGTATATAAACTCCTCCACCCCTCATTTGAGTGGCTGCTGCTCTTGGGGAGTATTAGACACATCCAAAGCCAAATAGCCATCCTCATTTCCCTACCTTTGTGGTGCCTCTTTGTGAGGGGGATTTGAGAAGGGGAGAGAGTTGGATTGAGAGAGTGAGGAGTTGAGAGCTAGTGAGCTTCACTCCATCCTTTGTGGTGCCTCTTTGTGAGAGGGATTTGAGAAGGGAAAAGAGTTGGATTGAGTGATTGAGAAGTTGAGAGCTAT